GCCACGTTTAAATTCAGCGGCCCAAAATTTCACTGTCGTAAATGATGGTGCAGAGTCCCCATACACAGAATCCAACTCATCTTTGATTTGCGTAGGCGTATTGCCTTTCAAAAACAAATATTTAATGACAGCTCGATACTCGATTTTGTCCATTTTCACAAAAACACTCACATCAACTTACTCAAACGACTGTTACATAACAACTGCGAGTCCAAAATGGCTGAAACTTCGGTGAGTAACTGTCAACAGATGAACAACGAAATTCACTAGCTTTTATTTACAAGTGCTGCTATCTTCACGTTGAGGTCGGAAACTTTTCAGACCACCCTCGTATACATATATTGAAAAGATCGTAAATTATAGCAGAATATCGATTTACTTCTTAAATTCTCTCTATTGTAATTTTTGCTAGCAAATTCTTTCCTCGCACGGAAACCTGCATTTCGTACAGCGTGTAACGAATTTGTGTACTACAGATTTTGCAGTGAAATCTTACTTCCACTTGCCAAAATCAGATAAGATAAATATAGGACGCAGCAGTAAACCGGGAGTATTTTCTCGAAAATCTCCGTGAATCCCACTAAGATAACGGTGAAATATTCCTTCGGATTCAATCAGAAATATTTGATTCACTTTAAGGGAGCAACGCCTTAATCTCTCGTAAATGACGTTGCGCTTCATCCGACACGAAGCACTTTGACGTGTCGCTCTCCCTCACGATCAACTGTCGATCGATCTACAAGCACACTTGCATCGCTCGCAAGGCCACGTAGGTAAGCGAATCGGCACCGAATTTGCAGTGTCGCAATGTAGGTCGGTATAAATCATTACGTGTCGTCATCCCGCGGCCGGCTGTGCGCGCTGTTACTTGCGCACACGTTAACGGGACACGTCTCGTGCGCGCTATAGCAAGCGCAGTTATACTTTGAGGAATGCGCGGCTTTACTCGAGGGCGCTCGACTTCCGGCGGCGCGATCAACTCGTGAATTATACTCGTGCCTCGGGAGGGATTACGTCGCGGGGAAAACGTTCCACGCTGCATTAGCCCGCGACCGAGGTAGAGTCGCGTTTCGTTTTAATTTTCCGTGGAGCAGTGGCGGCCATCAGAAGATAGAGAGCAAAGCCGGAGGAAAGCGAGATCACTATCGCGACTCGTTACGATCAGCGCATCTTGGCGCTATACGATTAAATAAAAAAGAAAAACAAATGGCACGACAAACTAGAAAAGCTCGTTTTTAACCAAAAAGTTCGCCTCGACGATGTAATATAGACAATTGAACCTTAAACCACAAGATGGGATCAACGATGATCCCATCCGTTATATATTTTTTATACAATAAGAAAATGTGTTCTTGTGCAAAGTTTCTGTTTATTTATATAAATTTTAATATGCAGGAAAAAAATATAAACTCAAGAAATGCTGGAGTCATAAATGATCCCATCTTGTTATTTACGTCCAATTTCGCTTTTGAGGCTCTCGTTTAGATAACCAAAGAAATAGAAGGCTTTTACGAATTTTTTTCGAAAAAATGAATAAACATATCAATGTGTAAAGTTTTGAATACACTATTTATCATTATCAAGTATAAAAAAATGTTTTATTTAAAAAAGGTTGAAATTCATCGCCCAAGTTTTTCGCCCAATAATAAATAGCAAAATCAAAACTATATATTGATACCATTATACGTTTCTTTAAAAAAAATAAAAAATTCGTGAAAAACCTTTATTTTTCAGCTATTCAAACACCTGCACTTAAATAAGCAAATTACACGTCATGCCACGTATGTTTGGTCGTTCCATTCACGCTGCAATTCTGAAATGAGAAGAGCGCATAATTGCAATGCCGCACGCGACGGCAGAGGTAGACGCGATTTGCGCAACTCGATCGCTCGTTCCCCGCGATCGCGCGCAAAGAGACGAAAGATTAGAGAAAGATTTCTCCTCGCGGGAATGTGAAACTTCGTTATGATGATTGCCTTGTATAAGAAAAAACAGCCATCGGGCGTATTTCCCGGTGCGTCAACCCAGCATGTCGCCATCGAGCCGAGAACTAGTTTGATTTCCTGTCCTCACGTTCGCCGATAGCGATCGGAGATCTGAAGTGAAACACTTCGTCTGGACGCAAACTTTCGCACGGGGACCTCGCGGTTGATACAACGAGCCAAGCCAAACCGAGCTCCAAGCCAAGAGCCATTATATTGTTTTATTCGCACTATCTCGCCCCGCGCGCGTTCAGGAAGATAATTCCGACGTTTAGTAACGACACGTAACATTTAGCAAGTGTTACTATTTTCACGACCTGGCGCAATTAGCGCTGCAGAATAAGTTTTCAAATGAATTACAGGACGTTTACATATCTGGCACACGGAACGCGCACGACTTTCTAATTTAATTAATACACGCGGCAATCCCGAACGCATTTATCAAATATTGCGTCTGTCGGAACCCGATCGCTTTCGACCGCGATTACACACCACCAACGTCATCCTCATTAGCCTACTTCATCGCAAATACTAATTGCGTCAACCGCTAATCGTGATATAATATTTGATCGTTTGAGAGATCATGGCTGCGCAAAGGACTGTCTTAATTGGTATCATCCGCCACAATTATAGTTCGCACGCATATAATTTAGACAGAGCAAAGAAATATCGATATTTTTGTATCATTATAATATAATTTAATTCTCTTTTAAGTAAAAAATTGTACAACGATGTCCTAATACCAATATCGCAGAAAAACGTTTCAACTTTTTTCGCCTTAGTTACTTTACATATTTTTCTAAAAAAACTTCTTCCACACACTTCTTCGCGGATATTTTTTACAGTAAAAATTACTGTGGAATTTTGTAACTAAGAAGCAAATCGACATTCCGCAGTAATTGATTACATAGAGAGAAAAGATATCTAAGAAATTAAAAATAAATTAAGTAAATCTCTTTATTATTATTAGTATTCACCGAATATTTTTTGTATCTTTCTCCTAATAATTAATATAATTTTAATAATTTATCTCCCAATCTATCCCTTCATTTCTTATATGCTACTTATAGAAACATGCTGTTATACTTTGTACTATTACATTTTTAGAAACTAAAATATGTTATTAAAAAATGTGCTATGTTTCTCGCAAAATTTACTCTGTTTCTCAAAAAGATAGACCTTACTGACGGTTTACTCCTGCATCACTAGAAACTTATGCCAAAACTGAAAAGAATTTATACGAAAAAAAATATATATGAATTGTAATATTCTTTCCGTGATAATATCGTATTCATTGTATTTATCACCTTACAAATGAATTCTCACAATCTCCTCGCCCTCCTAAAAAGCATCTTTCGCACGCTATTAAATCACGTGTTCTGAACTGCGCGTTAAAGTTTGTCGAATATTTTCGAAGCGACACAAACAGAATATTTTGCGGATCGTTGTTTACGAAGTACAGAAACTGCGACAGTAATATATCATCTCAACCCCCTTCTTCAGATGCGAAAAAAGAACAACTTCGACCCGTGCCGCTCGTGGAGGCGACCACGTGTTATCTCTCACGTTCGTCAAAGGTTACCGAGGTAATTTCAGGGTTCGTGTGCTTTCGCGCTCTTTCGGCCGTGAAGATAGCGGATGAGGTTCTCCACTCGAGACGGTGTCAGGTAATTGCGTCATTAGAAGTTTGCCGTACGCTAACTTCGAATACTTAGGATCTCCCTCTCTCTCTTTTTCTGTCTCCCTTGCCCGAATGACGCCCTAATCATAATCGACAAGTGCACAATGTCGTCGCACAATTTGGAAATAAAATCTGTTTCTCGGAGCAAATTGTTATTCACAGTATGCCTCATCATATTGCCATTTATCTCTTACCCTTTCATTTCGCATCTTTATGTTCCTATTGCAATTTCTTGCATTGATTTCTTTCATAATTATCATTCTGTATATTCGAAAACTTCTCTTCTTTTCGTCCTATTTATACTTTGTTCGTATCACTGATCTTCTATTTTTTTATGTTTCTTTTTTCTTCTGCGAGATGACTGTTTGTCCCTCGGTATTAATATTACTTGTACAGGAATCTCCATCAATGCTGTCCCGTTTGTGTTGATTATTTGCTTGAATTGTCGCTTTCTCGAATAATCAACAGTCATGATGTATGAATATTCATGATGTAATGCCCTGATCGAAAATTTCACACGTCACTATCCTAGGAAGTGGGACAGCATTAATGGGATCTTCTTGTGCTTGCGTGTTGCTCTGATAGGATATTACCCTAGAGCATAATAAATCACAGTATCCTATTCTATTCTATTCAAATATTCTTCATAATGCAAGATTAATGTTTCTCCGATAGCTCGCATTGTGCGATCAGTATTGTTAAATAGTAATCCGGCTAAAGGATTACAAAATCGACTCTCAGTCGGACACCAGATAACGAGCATGTGTGCGTGAGGCTTTAATATCCGATCACCGCGAGACTCGTAGTGAACTCGCGTAACCTTTCCTGCTTCTCGTAAGGAGGAGTTAGGAAGAAGCCAAGGTTTTCAGACACGCGCAAGAGCACAACGTATCATTACGTCTATCGAGAGAATTCCGCGCGCTGCCGGGGCAAAGAGGATAGGCAAAAGCGGAACGACCAGTTCCATTATTTCTGGATGCCTTTCGTGCGGCGTTTATTTATGCGCGCTTTGCCCTCGGTCACCTCGGTTTCCTTTTTAGAATACGTCGCTCTCGCGCACGTATCTCGCTCGCTGTGTGTTCCGATATAATTATCTCACCCGCAAATATATAATAAACGACACTCACCCATTTTCCCGGGAATGACGTCGAACTGGGCCGGTGCATCGCTGACGAAGATCGGCCGATTGCACAATTCCTGAAACAGAAGAAATATCTTGGATTTCTTCGCACATTTTTGCCAATTTCAATAGAATCGCTGACGGTGAAAGAAACAAATTTGTATTCATTTGAAAACTAAAGTAAACATGGAGAAAAATAATTTTGCTCTTTTAGCAAAGTCGTCGTTGCCACTGCATATTCGTACTGATATCAAAAAAATTTAGTTGATGTAACTAATTTTATGAATTATTCGTTATCAGAGCAAAAGTAGTTTCGTTGCCAGGATAGAAAAAATCTGTTGAATGTATTTGTCCTAAGAATCACGTTAATTTGCTATTGATGCAAAATAATTTATCCTTAGCAAATTTATTTGCTATCGGAGCAAAACTGCAACTGCTTATATAAACCATCATGGTTTTTATAGCAAAATAATTTGTAGTTTCAGCAAATTATATCCAGCAAATACTGATTAGTACTTTTAGCAAATCTTTTTTCTGTCCATATAATAACGAAAAGATTTTGCTAGACCAGCAGAAAATTTGCCAGCAAATTATTTTTCTCCGTGAAGAAAAAAACTCTTATTAATTCGCATGTTTTTCTGGAAGAACTTTTTCCAAACATTTCGAATAATGTCGTTTCTATTTTTTGTCGATTGTTTTGCACTAAGAAAAAATATTTGATATTTTCAATTATAAATACATAAATAAATAATTACTATAAATCACGGTCAAGAAAATAATTTTTTTATTCAATTCTACTGTAATGTTAATGATAATAACATTATGTGTATATTAGAGTTTCCGGGGTTTCCGGGCTTCAGCCGCGTGGATTCTTCTTTGTCTGATTCCTCGTTTACGAAATGGCAATTAACCGATTCGCGCAATCCTCAATTTGCAATTTCCTCGCAACTGATGAGACATCGAGTCGCAACTCTTCGCCGTGATTTTCGTTTAATTCCCAATAATCGACTAATAATTAATTTAATATGCAGTAGTGAAGGTTTTGCGAAACACACATCTCCCGCTCACTTCTGCTGAAACGCAATTACAATGGGCGCGGCGGGGGAAATAATTATTCGATAAAATGGCGGTTCCCACCTCCTCACAGGTGACTGCGTTACCTTGTGCCAAGTGAAAAAATGCCAGGCATTAACGGCCGCGAAGTGCCGCGTCGTGTCGCAATAATCGGTACGCCGCCGTATTAAATAACTGTTCTACGCATTGTGCATCCCGCGATAATACCAGCCTCTTTCGGCGCGTATTTCCGGTTGACGCGCGCGATCGTGACTCGGATCAGCAAGGCGCGCTGAGAGAGCGATCGTCGGTGACGGTGTTAAAAGCGCGACAATACACGCGAGGCGCTCCACGCGATCGCCGACCTTGTCTTAGGAATATGTGCATATGCACGGCTGTCAATGACTTTTATTGCGAATATTGTACGTGGCGGCGTGCGCCACGCAATCTCGTTCGGTAAGCAGAAAAGACCTCGGTTACGCGTCGTCGGCTTCACCTGCCGCTCGCTTACTCGCTCGCTCACTCGCTCACCCGCTCGTTTCTCGTCTCATCGTGCAGGTTGCGTAATCACGACGCCGCACGATCGTTGATCCCGGTCGGCCGATTCCCGCCGCGATATTCTAAAACCGCGACTGCACACTGGATCCTGGAAAGATCCCGTTCCATCCGAGAGGAGTAACAGGCCGAGGGGACCGTCGATCCGACGAATTGATAAATTAGTCAATCGTAAAATCAAAATCAATCAATCAAAATCTAGGTCTATCTTGCCAAGGGACATAGTAAATTTCGCAGAAATACAGAAAATTTTTTAACAGCACATTTCAGTTCCTAACATATAAGTAGTATCTAAAATATATAAAAAAGATAATTTAGATTAAAGTAGTGATTCTCCGGATAATTACGAGAAGATTAGACGTTGTAGAAGTCGGGGTATACCTCGAGTGATTTGTGAAGCGATGCGAAAATAATCGTTAAGTGTGCAAAAACACAAGTATAAGTAAAATAATTAGTCGGGGACGGCAGAAAGCCGTGGTTCGACGCTTGATGAGCGGTTCCGTTAAGTCCCAACCAGAAAACGCGTTGTTCCACAAATTATAAGCACACAGGAGACAGAGAGAAGCCGCGTGTCAAGGTTGCGAACTGTTTTCGTTACGGTTCCTAAACCCTCCACGTATGACGCGTCTCTTTCCGTTCCTTACGAACTGGAGCGAACCGAGCAAGCCAGTTTAGTTCCAGACTGTTCCCGGAGGAACAACCGGATCGCTTATCAAACAGACGATGAAACAGTGAGCCAACTTTTAACTGTCTTGTTCTCGTCAAAGAAAAAGAAAGAAGGTATCATAATAAGCTACTTTTAACAAAGACTGTCTCCGGATCATAAAGTTGCTTATCTAAATTAATTTCTGCGAACTGAGTAACGAAACGAGCAAAAAAAAAGTACAAATGAGAGAGACACGTCATATGTCATATATACACATCTCCAACAAGATTATTACGTGTTTAATTATTTACTTTACATACTTCGGCAATTCCTGTGAAGATCACCAGCAATAAGAGATAAAGAATAAATTTATGTCAACTCAACAGGCTTGCCTACTATGCTAAATGTTAATCATCGCCACTGTCACAAATATCTCTTTCTGGCATTTTATTAAATTCTTTAAAGAAGTACGGAGCCTTCACTACGATTCCTCAAATAATTTATGATACATGGAGAGAATATATCACAGTTTTTTTCATATAAATTCTCTTCAATTTTATTGTGTTTCCAGTAGTGCGACCGATTTAACCGTCAATAAGGTGTATATTGCTAAGGAACAGTAAATTTTGTTAAAAACATAACAGATTTCTCAACAGCAAAATAATTCACTTTAAATTAAATATAAGTGGCAACACATATAAAAGGAAAGGATTAGCCAATTATTACAGAATGTCGTTCTATTACTCGGTTACGAAACTTTGCAGTAACTTTCACCGCAAAACTCTCCCCGCATACGTATCAATTAACTGCATAGAAAAAATGTATCGAAATTGATAATCCTCTAAACCGGCTGCATTATCTAAATCTTAATAATCCAGCTTAACTAATGCGTCGCGTATGTGTGTATCACCTGGTCCGTCAGGAGAATTTAAAGCGTCGCGCACAACGAGCGCATTAAAAAAAGAAATGGTCACTTTACCTTCGGCCTTTTCCATTGGAACTGGAACGGAGGTGTCTGATGATAAAAGACCGACGCCTGCGTCGCCGGAAATTCTGGATCCTCCCAGAGCTCGCCTCGTTTCAAGCACGAACGCTTGATTCGTTCGTACTCGCTCATCACGTCCTGGGAAGCAAACGAGTGGTCCTCGATTAATTCAACCGGGTCAGAAATCGACAAGCAGAGACGGAATCCCCGTCGCGACAGCGCTGTTAAAATTACATCTTCGTCCATGACAAAGAAGAAGTAAGCTTCAAGTTCGCTCGCGTAGTCACGATCGCAATTACAATGCGATCTACTTCATCCCTCGATCTCGATCGAAAAACAAAGCGTCGTGATAGTTATCCTTTTAATTATAACGCGCAAAATTTCGCAGAAACAGCTATTTAGGCGTGTGCGCCGAAACAAAGACTCGATATCCTCTCAACGAGGAGCTTCCTAGGTAGGCTGAGTTAAGAGAGATTACGCTACTTAATTAATATTAATGGCTCATTACTAATAGAGGGTGAGAATTTAACAGTACCTCTGGTCCGCGTATCGTCTCTTCATTCTTCTCTCCATCTGTGCTCTCGCAATTAAGGCGCAATCTTAGGTAAGAGACGTTTGAAAACTCTCCCGAAGTACTCGCGAAGCCATTTCTCGCGACGATTAATAATGCGCATCAGCAAACGTCGACGTTTAAATTGCGCGTTCCCACGCGCGAGATGTAACGCGGCCGCGACGACACGTCAGGAAAACTCGGCGGGAAACCCGGGAAATAAATCCACGCGTTTGTGGGACGCGCTTTCGGCGGAATTTAGTATCTCGCGAATCGCGCGACTTTCGGTGAGAAAGCGCTGCGTACATGTCCGCGCGTTTCTACGCGCTACTGATACGATACATGCCGAGGAAGCTCGCCCGCAAGAGTCGTCGAAAATAAATCCATGCATCGTCGGAGTGCTTCGGAAACTTCTGCTGAACATTTTAGATGTGGCCCCGGTCGACGCAGCTCGTTAAACCCCAACAAATCTCTCGACGGAACTCTCTGACGTTGAGAGCGGCTCGTAAGATGACCAGACGTCTCGGTTATCCCGACTGTATGTTCCGGATTTTATCAAATATTATCTGGCACGCCGATTTTTCCCGGATTCGACCGTGCCGGTTTATCCCGGTTTAGAGAATTTCAAAGATCTTCCTAACAAAATGGAGACGTCTTCAAGAAAACTCATAGCTCTGTAAACACAGCAGCGTTGCTTCATCTTTTTCTTCATTTTAAATAAGGATAAGAACAATTTTTATTTTTAACGTATACAGGCTTTTATTATCGTTTAATTATTTTCCGTATGTTGTAAATAAAATATTGTTATATACTTATATATATATATATATATATATATATATATATATATATATATATATATATATAT